AGGAGGGCCTGGTGTGCTCTGGTCCATGGGGTCACGAAGAGTTGGACATGACTTAACGACTAAACAACAATAAAGTGTAGATTTGTGCAGTTTTGATTTCTCTTAATTACACTGAGTACTTGGTGGTTGTGGTGATGGTGGCATTAGCTGCATATATCCATTAATATTCTGATTCATGAAATGTCATAGACTCATTGCAGACCTTGTTGGAGCAATTTCTTAATTAAGAAGTTGAACGTTGCAATTAAATTAGACCACTGAATCAGTGGGAACTTTGGAAATCAGTATCTACGTACATTCGGTGGATTCAGTGGGTCTACTTTAGTTGTTTTAGTTATTTGTTACTCTATGTCATTTATTGTTTTGTCATCCCCTCACTTGTAATATATTAACCATCATTTTACAGTATGCAAATGAGATTCCCTTGAAAGGCTGGTTTGTAAATTTAAACCATGTTTTTAATCCCTGGTTTAGGACAGAACCTTAGTTTACATTTATCTGAGTTTGTGTAAGTATCACCTGATTGTTGTTCACCTTGTGGCACATAATAATCTGGATCCCATAAGAGATTACATCTCTTTGTATATCATTGTCTGTGGGAGGTTGTACCTCTTGAACAGGGGATGAATTAAATTACTCTTTATTTTCCGTCTTGGCTAGATCAGAGATGTAGGATAGAACATTTTCCATGAAAACAATCTGTGGAAAAATTCTGTACCACATACAGTATATCTGCATTTATCCATAGTCATATAAGTATTACACTGCAAGCAACTATGTCAGAAGGGCTCAATATAGGATGTGAACTTCTATATCTTATTCTTCTAAGGCTAGCATTAACAAATGCTAGTGCTCAGTTGCTCATGGAATAATTGAAAAATAAGGTATGATAACCTCTTTCTGTGTACACTGCAGTTGGATCCTGGCTGGGTTCCCAGTCTTGAGTCCCCAAATGTTCTTGGACTAAAACTCCCAGAAGTCTTCATCAATAGCTGTACTGGCCAGAATTTCTGGGAGTTGTAGTCCAAGAACATCTGGGCACCCAAGGCTGGGAACACTGTTCTAGACCATACTTATACATAGGGCCACTGGTTCTTAACCTTGGGTTACTCAGGAGTTTTGGACTGCAACTCCCAGAAGCCTTCTTCACCAACTGTGCTGGCTGGGGTTTCTGGTAGTTGCAGTTCAAAAACATCTGAGTAACAAAGGTTAAGAACCACTGGTCTAGACCATACGTATACAACAAAGTGAACATAAACACTGTTTATATAGTATATTGTATTTATAGTGTAAGAAAAAAACGTTAAGCGAGGCACCACTGTATTTATAGTGTAAGAAAAAATGTCTTGAAAATACCATATTATATAAAATAATTGTCATCCTGATAATTTTACCATAAGAATGTACGATGATCACTAGCAGATCATACCAAAGGCTTCTGTATTTCAGTAGTGGTGAACCAGATGCCTATAGAATGACTGTAAGCAGCACCCAATTACTTCTCCCAGCTTGAGTTTCCCAACAGCTGAGTGTCATATCTTTTATGCTGTAATACTATCAATGGTGTATAGCCATCATGACAAAAAGTTGTGGGTAACAATATTTTCATTAATTTCCTAAGATTCTTTTAAAACTCTCCCAAGTTTGTACTTTTACTTCATCCTGTGTGTGGTCTGTGCTATCAAGTCAGAACCAATTTATAGCGACCCCAGTAGGGCTCCCAAGGCAAGTGAGATATTAAAGGAGTGGTTTTACCAGTTCCACTCTCCTGTTCACTTTCCATGGCTGAGTGGGGACTCAAACTCAAGTCTCCTGAATCCTAGTCCATCACTCTATCCACTATACCACACTGGGTACAGAAACCGCTATCTGCAAGATTATTGTTTATTCACAGCCATCACTCTTTCCACTATACCACACTGGGTACAGAAACCACTATCTGCAAGATTATTGTTTATTCACAATGATAACTGCTTATTCACAATGAAAGGAATGTATTTTTCCCTCCTTCTGGAGAGAATTCCCTTACAATCAACTGAAGCATGACCAAACTTAAATCTCTTAGCACAGCTAATACCAGTGAACAGCTTGTTACTGTTGAAAGGGTGTGAATTTTTTAAATGATTTTAATGAAACCTCAATATCTAAAAAGAAATCCAGGTTAAGCGACCATTGTCCCTTTTTAATTATCCCTTTCCACGGATGAGTGATAATTGGAATCCTGTTCTCCAGAATCCTTATCCATCTCTCTATCCACTACACCTTACTGGGAATCAGTCACTTTATCCTAGGCAGGTAAATTCAATTGTTTAACTCTTGCACTTCTTTAGATAGCACAGAATACAGAAGGTTTTTTGTATGATCCACTCTTACATTATTTTACATGTCCTGCATCTGCCATGATTCAATTTCAGAGAAGGAGATTAGCTCTGTGCCATACAAAATTGTATACACTTAATCGTTCTAGAACCATCTTGAGTTAAATCAGAAGGAATTGTTAATATAGGAGCAACTTCTTAACTGGCACTAGTTAAGAAATTGGCTTGTATTTCGTGTTGCTCACCAGCTGCATGGCAAGAAATACAAACTACATAAGTAACAATGATTAACTGCTGAAATTTATGCCATAAATTTAATTTTTCAATTGGATTCTGGTCCATAAATTTATACAGTAGGACTTCCATATCCATAAGATCAGTACCCACAGTTCCAGTTATCCGCTGCCTGAAAAATTAAAAAAAAAAGTTGAAACCCCACAAATATGTTTTCAATATGTGTTAACTGAAGTGACCAGAACTAGAGACTATAATATATATAGACACAATGTTCATGTCTAAACGGCATCAAAAAGGTGTGCAAAAAGCAGATTCCTATCAACTTTCTGTATACTAATTTTATGTTTATGCTACGGTTATGATATCATTTTAATATACCAGGGGCTTAATTAATATTTAGAAGTGAAATGAAAAAGAACACATATACAGGGTATGCTCACATTTCATCAACATATAGTATAGTAGCTGAAATAACAAAAATACAAGGTTGTGTTGTGTAATATGGAAAATAGATCTTAGCATTTATTTGCCAGTTGGTTGAATGTTTACTACATAAATGTACATACTCTTGTTCTCACTGATTTTGCTTTCTTTTTCAAATATTTTAACATATCCTTTTCGGGTGTGAAATATCATGCCCAAATAATTGTTTATTAGGCTTTTCTTTTGATCAATTAATATTTGTTCTTTATAACCCAAGCCCACCAGAATAGTGTAAACAAGAAAAATAGCCAAGTCTTATCAATAAAAAATATGTGATCAAATTAAACAGTAAATTTGTAAATATGATTAATAAATCTAAAACCTCCAGATTCAGCCTGACTCTAAGTTCCATTATACTGTTTCCCAGTTTCAGTTCTAAATCAAGTATAAAATACAGTGGTACCTCAACTTAAGAACTTAATCCATGTTGGCACTGCGTTCTTAAGTCGAAACATCCTTAAGTCGAAGCACCATTTCCCATAAGAATGCACTGAAAACCATTTAATCCGTATCTGCTGTCTTTTGTTCTTAAGTCAAGGTGCTGTTCTTAAGTTGAAGCATTAGTTCCCATAGGAACTGATGCAAAGCCGGTTAACCACTAGGGGGTGATTTTTTTTTCTTTTGACCTAAGGTAGACTTAGGTCAAAAACGAGCAGGAAAGGTTTCTTTTTTCTTTTTTTGGTTCTTAAGTCAAGGCTCTGTTCTCAAGTCGAAGCAACTTTTTGTGAACAGAACCGTTCTTAACTCGAATCGTTCTTATGTAGGGACGATCTCAAGTCGAGGTACCACTGTATAGAGAAATGGTTAACAATCAAACTTCTTTAGTACACACATCTACCCTGTTTCCCCAAAAATAAGACAGGGTCTTATATTAATTTTTGCTCCAAAAAAATCATTAGGACCTATCTTCAGGGGATGTTTTATTTTACAGTCATGTTATCTTCTTCTGGTTGCTGCACAATGCTGCACAATGGTGGAGGGTGGGGTTTCACTTAACTGGGGCTTATTTTTGGAGTAGGGCTTATATTACGAGCATCCGGAAAAATCATACTAGCGCTTATTTTCAGGTTAGGTCTTATTTTCAGGGGAACAGGGTACTTATTGCAGACATTTGTATTTGCCTTATAAAATTGAACATTTAATCTAGGTTACAGTGGTGCCCCGCTAGGTGATGACCTCGCAAAACAACGAATCCACATCATGATGAGGTTTTGCGATTGCTATAGCAATTCGCAAAACTGTTTCCAATCGGTGATTTTCGCTGGACGATGTTTGGGTCTGTGCCTCGCAAACCGTTTTCCAAGTTTTCCTACTGTGTTTAGTTAGACTTAAATATGAAACTTAATGCAGTTAACTGAAAATAGAATGATTGATGCATGGTAGTACTACCGTATAAAACTCAAAGCTCCCCCAAGTCAGCAAAATTGTTTTCTAGTAATGTAGCACACATACACACTTTTTGTGTGAATGTGTGTGTGTTTATATACATGTCAGAACTTCTGGATGGCCTATTGAGTGCTTTAAAATAGTTGCTGCAGAAAAGTGCCGCTTTGTATTTGTCATTCATTTCCTGCCCTCCCTTTCTGGTCATATGAAGTGGAGCTGATCATGTGGATCATCATGCTGTATAGTAAAGAGTTCTGTCTAAGAGAAGCTTCTTCTCTTTATATAGTTATGTTTGTTTTCATTGATTTTTTATATATAGCCAAAGAGTCTCCACCTTCCATTTCTCACACATTTATGACAGCACCTCTCTTTTTAAAATGTGCATAGTCAATGAGGGGAAAATGGATGATTCTTAACAGCTAGTTTACCTCCATATGCATTTAGAAATGTAACACTAATCCTACATTGCCTCTTTTCAGTCTGAATCTACTATGATGTTGAAATGTTTCATAAGTCAGTAGAACTGTTAAGAATGGTAAATGTTAATCTTTTTTCTCTTATCACTTTACTGTATAGATACTCTTCATGAGACACTACTCTGCCACAACTCGTCCTCGGAGGCAGTCCTGGAAACTACTTTTATAAATGTGATTTTAAGCTGTGGATAAGACTTTCAGTAGGACCCAAACTAAAGGAAAACACTGTATTACCCTTGCCATATTCTTAGTGTTGGGTTTGCTTGCCAGGTTTTATAGAATGTAACCAATGGGTATGTTCCTTGAACTGGCAAGGCAGTTAATTTACTTGATTTTTTCCATTGCACTAATCAGGCACATTTACTCTGTGCATTGTTGAAAATACCAGATGAATGTCTTGTCTGAATTGTTCTATGAAGTAATATCATCTCCCATTGCGATTCCTTGGCAAATGATGTACAGTACTTGGACTCACTGAAGAGTGACAGGAACCTATGGGATTTAAATACTTAATGTGATATTATTGAATGGGAAAAGCAATGCTTTGTCATTTGTTGGTTGCTCTGTTTTCTGTGCTTCTTAGTAACCAAAATTTTATATAAACTAATGTGTTGAGGAGCTATATGTTAAAGGCTTGCTTTCTGTAAAAATGTTCGGTGTAGTGGCAATCAGATATCTGTAAATTATTTCACCCGTTCTCATTATGAAATAGAATTGATTTTGTTCTTATTTCATTTCAAATTTACTGAGTGAGTCTGTGTGTTCTGCAGTGGTGATATGTTCTTCAAAATGCAGTAATAATCCCTATATCATTTTGAGAGAAGTTAAAAATAACAAGTATTTGTTTAGTATAGCAGAGAAAAAGGTGCTAATTATGTTTGTTTCTCAGCATAGGATTTGTATGACTTTTTCAAAATATGACATAAATTATACATATAATACTTTGCATTTTGTCCTTGTTTGAAAGAAGCTGTTTGTGCATATGTACCTGTAGTGTTTAAGTATGTATGTTGCGATCCAACAAAGATATTGACTCATGTGGGGAAAGCTGTGAGATTTCTTTGGGGTACTCATCTACCCATCTTGATGAAAAAGTAACCTGTAGTTTTTAAACTGAGATATGACTTGGCTCTTTAACCAAAAAAAGGTCAAAGAGGCCTGCCACTGGGTGAATTTACTCAAATGCACTTGTCACTTTGTTGGATCACAGCCATAATACTGGAAATTCTTGGCATATGGTAGGATCTTAGTGCACTGAAAAAGATGCATACAGTATTTCCTGTTAAAACAGATTTTATAATTGAAGTATAAAAACGGAAAACAGACTAATAATAAGATGTATAAAATAACAGGATATAATGAATTAGTGTATTCTTATGGCTATGGATGGCTACAGGCTGTATTGTCTCTGGAGATGTTCAATAAAAATTTGATCTCAGTTATACTGTTTGAAATAAGCATTTTGTTGAGACTAATATTATTAACATGGGTTCAGAATGCACATTAAGATCAACTGAAAGGATGCTAGATGGATCAATCATTTAGGCAGGATTTGTTGTAAAAGTTGGCATGAATTATGCTAAGTATGGACATTAATTTCATTATGTGTGGTGTTTAATTGTAGTGTACTCTTCACATGTTCACTTCTTTGTTTTAAAGGGTTTTAAAAACAAAACATAAAAAGTAAAATACATTAATACATTTATATTAGGCAGTAGTTGAGTAGAATTTAAGTAACATGGTCCTTTTTATTAGGAGGGAGATGTTATTAACTATTTAGTAACCACTACTTACTAATGTTTGTGTATATCTTATGTGTGTCTGTGCCTTGGTTTAGCACTGCTTTGCAAAATGCAAGGTTTTTGGTAACCTTGATTATTTTGTTGCCCTGGGTGGTTTCTGTACGAAGGCAGTTGATAGTTCTAGGTTGGCTTTTTTTAATGTAGATTCTACTTTGGGTGAAAGAACAGCTGTGTGCCTGTAAGGGGTGAAGTAGATGGGGTAGGTTTCATTATTTGGTAAGCATGAAGAACTCTTAATTTGCGTAGAAGTGAAAACTGTAATTAGAGTGGCATGGGGATTGCATTTATGTTCTATAGTTCATATACTGTTCATTTTATGTGTTCTTGCTTATTTTTAATTTTACATTCTTCAGATTTAACATTAGCGTATATAACAGTAGGTTGTTTATATAATTGAAATGGCTTTAATATTTTTTTCTTTCTGAGAAATATTATTGATACTTTTCCATATAAATTAATCAACTGGAAACTCTTCTCAAACTAAATATATGAAAAGAATTGTGTTGCAACAGTGCAATGCCTGTGTAGCTCCATACATGTTACTCCCTAATATGTGTAGTTAAATTTATGTCATAATATTTTCTGTCCAGCTTATGACCTAACATTGGTAGCGAGTAGATGTAGGGGGAAATTAGACTGAATTATCACAAGTGCTAGTTCCAGTACTGTATATCCTTTGATAAAGAATAGATAGAATTGAGCACATTTAATGTGATAGTTAAGGAACCATAAAGTGTTAAATTGAAAATAACATATACTTTCAAGAAATGCATGACTGCATTTAGAACACAAACAATAGAGCCACTTTGCAAAACGGCCTCATGAGTTCAAAATATCAGAGTAGTTATAACAAATATTTAAAATCCTCAGTGAATGTAGTAGTGTTATTTATGAAAGTGGAACTGAACAATCAAATACTACTCTATTACAATATGAATGAGTCTCAGCTATAGATAGAAATGTTATACTTCCTGTGTTTAGAACTGGTACATTAGGAAGCTCTCTTCAGTGACAAAATGCATAACACCACCACTTACCATATTTTTCTGTATATAAGACATATCCATGTATAAGACACCCCCACTTTTCTAACCCAAAATTAAGAAATCTAGGTTGGGCTTAGCAAATGTAGGGTAAAAAGGATCAAAGTGCTGCAGGATGGCTTTGATCCCTGCTTTTTGCCTTTGTTCTAAGCCACACGTGGCTTAGCAAAAGGAGGGGGAAAGGGATCAAAGCAATTCCACGACTGCACAATCATTTTAATCCCATTTTAATCTCTTATACAGCCACGGGATTGCTTTGATCCCCCCTCCTTTTGCTAAGCCCCATGGGACTTAGCAAGCAGAGGGGGGAGTAGGGATCAAAGCGATCCTGCAGCACTTTGATCCCTGCTTTCCTTTTGCTAAGGCTTAGCAAGTGGAGGGGAAAGCAGGGATAAAAGCCCTGCAGGATCACTGTGATCCCTGCTTTCCCCTCCACTTGGTTTTTTTCTCCTCGGCTTACTTCCGTTTATAAATAGGACGACCCTCAATTTTTAGTCTAAAGATTTTAGATAAAAGTATAGTCTTATACACAGAAAAAATATGGTAATTTTGCAGGTTACTTGAAGAGTCTATGAAACTAGAACAAAAGCCCTAAGACTTTAATTCTATAATAGCAGCAATAATTAAACATGGCTTCTATAAGAGGTATTTCTTCACATTTTCATGTGTGGGTTTGGGTGTGTGACTCCTCCACTCTCATGTGCTATTTACAAATTTAATTTAAGAAATCAAGATTGGAGGAGACTATGTAATAAATACAGAGACCCATGTACCTTATATTCTGGTGAACAGAAGACTGTTCCTTTTGGTTTCAAATTTAACACATTCTTCATTAAGTTTTATGTTTCTTTGCTTATTTTTATGTTCCAATGAAGATGTTACCCATTCAGTTCAAAGATAATTATTTGACCACAGCTAAATCATAAAAGATAAATGGTAAAGATGCGCTCTAATAATCCACTGAACTGTGTCTCCTCAGGTTATGTGTGACCTTAACATTGTTCCACATCTTGCTTATTGCTTAAACAAAATATTAATAAAGATGTCTGCTGCAATATTTAAGTACAGTTCCATTTTCAAGTGGGTATATTTGTGTTTTGGATCAAAAGGTTTTTTAAGTTCAATTTTGTTGCCATGAAAAAACAAGGAAAGGGCCGGTGTCGTCCCAAATATTACACAAATGTGAATAGGTGATACCTTTTCTTAAACCACTAAAAAATTAAATAAATAATAAAGCTTTGTATTGTTGCCGTGTTAAACTTTAGTCACTTAGGCAACAATATTAAATCAGTTCACATGAAAACAAGTCTTCAAGGACTGTGTAATAAGTGTTATAATAAAAAGTAGTACAGTATAATACATCTAATGCAAGGACTAAGATTAGATACAGTGGTGCCTCACTTAGCGATTGCCTCGTTTAATGATGTATTCGCTTAGCGATGATGTTTTTGGAGCGATCTTGTGCTCCAGTTAGCGATGTTACCAATGGAGGAATTTCGCATAGCGATGTTCGGAACCTTGCTTCACTTAGAGATGACAGTTTAGGTCCCCCTTTTTCGCTTAATGATGGTTTTGACAGCTCCGTTTTCGCTATTTTTAAAAGGAGTTAAATTGTTTTTAAAAGGTTTAGAGTGCTTGAAATCGTTAGTGCACTTAATAAACCCTTTGTTAACCAAATTTGGCTTCATTCTGACTCTTTTTGAATTTTTGGTGATTTTTTTTTTGTCCCCCATTGAAATGGGGGAACCACGTTTCGCTTAGCGATGTTTCCTATGGCAATTTTCGCTTAAGGATGGCAATCCATTCCCATTGGAATGGATTATCCAGTTTTTAATGCATCTCTATGGGAAAACGCGTTTTGCTTAGCGATGTTTGCTCATAGCGGTGATTTTTTTGGAACCAATTAAAATCCTTAAGCGAGGCACCACTGTATATATATAACTGACATCATAGCTGTGCCAATTATCTGCGTATGAGCTGTAGGCCTCAAAGATAGGAGGGAAAGAGCAGTTCTCTTAGGAACTGCTGCTAAAATGTTGCTTCATTTGAAGAGAAGCTTTGCTATACCAGAACTGGTATAGGTCAGTTGGTAGGAATATACAGCTGTGCAGGCAAGTGTTAGGAGTTCAACTCCTTTCAGAGAGAGGGACCAAGCAGGACTACCCAATGCATATGAGACTGATGAGACGAAGTGCCTGCCAGCTGCACAATCTTGGGCAAGCTGCTCAGTCTCGGAGTGCCTCCAGAAGGAAAGAGTGGTACACTGTTTCTGAGTACTTTATACCCACCACGGTTCTATGAAAATAAGACAGGGTCTTATATTAATCTTTTGCTCCAAAATGCAATAGGGCTTATTTTCAGGAGATATTATATTTTTTCCATGTACAACAATCTACATTTATTTAAATACAGTCATGTCATCTTCTGGTTGCTGCACAATGGTGGAGGGCGGAGTTTCACTTAACTAGGGCTTATTTTTGGAGCGGGGCTTATATTAGGAGCATCCTGAAAAATTATACTAGGGCTTATTCTCAGGTTAGGTCTTATTTTCAGGGAAACAGGGTAGAAACCACTGGGAAGGGGTTGGTTCCGTATGTTGGGATTGGCTTGATGGCACACAATATTTCCTCACTTTCCTTCTGTGGTATATAGATTCCTGATGGGTTAATTCAGTTGCCAGGTAACATATGAAGTTGTTATAATAGGTATCACTCCAGCATATACTCAGAATTTAAGTGTGTGTTATATAAATCATGCCTTTTGTGAATACCATTGTGAGGAGTATTTGGAGCCACATATTTAAAGAAGAGAGGGTTTTTGCAATTTCTAAAGCAGTGATTATGAAGTTGTCTTTAAGGATGGGTGTAGTTATAAAAAATTTAAGGTGATAATTTTTACAGCCAAAGAGTGCTGCATCTGTCTTATGAATGCAGAATAAATTTCTAGTTATTTGGAGTTTTGATTTTGCAAATTACTACAGTGGCATACGAATAGGCCAACTATAGCCACATTTTTCTTCCACTCTTCATTTAAACTAGCCCTGGTCCTTCTCTCTCTATTCCCCCAGTGTTGATATTCTAAGGCTTCTGCAGGCCAGCTGATAAGACTCCCTTCTGTGCAGGTAGGCTCAATGTAATGAAATTGGACGTACGTGCTAGGCTTTGTAAATAGAATGAGATTGACCCCCAGCCATTATCTCATTTATCTTATTTACATTGTAAAATCAGGATCTACAGTATTGATTAGAACATAATTACCTAATTATGAACAGGAAAATAGAGAGTTAGGAAGGGTTTGAACACAGCAGGCTGAACTGCTGAAAGATTTCCAAGGGCATGAGCAGATGGAGATCACTTTATTAAAGAACAAAACAGACATATTTCAGGTAGTGTCTAGTCAACATCTCTTGCTGTGCTAAGATATTTGACCTTAGTTCTGTATGTTTGTTTGTTTAAAGATGTTTTCTATCAGCTGCTGATTTTTAAAATTATTATTTAGCCTCTCAACCTGATTGTGACGAATAGCAGAAGTATGACTTTTTTGCATACCTTAAAACTTGAATC